TAAAACTTCTGTATCTAGATACGTATCGTATCATGGCATCAATATCTAGATACATATCTATCAACTACTATGATGAGATAAGCACCCCTGCTAAAAAGATTCAGAGAAGAATTTCTTAATTCTTTGTTTTTCTTCTGTTGCTGTTACACAGTAAAGTTATAGTAATAGTGAATAACTTACAGTAAAAAGGTCATAATTAAAAATGTTTCTCTTCAGTCAAAAACTGAGACAGAAAAATTTATGTTGAATTCTGTTTCAAGTGTATGTAGATCTTTTTCGGTTAACTAATAAAATTCATCACATTTAGGAGCCGTACACACAGCCTGTAGTTTCTGTTTGTTGTTGGCACGTTCACTGTGAAGAATGCTGGTTAAGAACATTGGTAAGTCTTACACGTTTGTTTCAAATGTTGTGGAAGATGATTGATTGAATGCTAGTTATATGAAGGTATTTTAAGAAATAAAAGTTCTTTTAATTGTTTAATTTATAAACATTTTTGTATCTTGTCATCTGAATACGAATGATATAATTGTAAGAAAATGTTTGTAAGCTATAGGGCTAATTTTTATCAAAATATTTTTTTGGCACACCAGGTGGCACTGGGAATGATTAAAAGCATATATATATTTTCATGCTTCTATTACAGTAAAATTATTTTAGAGTTTATGAGGAAGAGTACATTAAAACTATCTATGTTTTTATAATGTTATGCAATCACTTGTGATTTGACAATTTTCTGACTTTATTGTAAAAGTAGATAAAAACTGCCTGCTAGGGGGCAGCATTGCAGTGCAAATTTAAAGTGCAGGTAATGGAAAGTAATTTGAATGTCACATAATAATAATAAATAATAATAAAAAAACATTAAGTACTTGATAATTCAGTTCCTAACTACTTCATTAGCAGTCTAAGACTGATTTCAAGGGGCTTAATAGAACAGTATATATATTTGTCCTAAGTGTTGCAGTATTCTTAGTGGAGCCATTAAGGATGATACACTGAAAAATGTTCTGTTATTATTATTGTGACAAGTTGCTAATTTAATGGAATTATGATGTGCCAGCTTTGTGATTGTACATGCTACAAATTAATTTTTTAACACAGCTGGTGTAAGTTCCTAAAGTGGATGATATGTTTGCATATATTAAGATGCAAGATTGAGGTTTTTTGTATTTTTTATTTAATTCACAAGCTTTTGCATATAGATGTTTCTGTTTTTTGGACTAACTGAGATCATCCAGTTAATAATATTCAACCAAGTACGTTATTGGAATATTGACTTTAAAGAACTCTGTTTTAGGACTTCGGTAAAAAAATCACATATCCTCAGTAGCTTGACTGTCAGTTAGTTTGTCGGCAGAAAAACTTGACAGTTTTTGAAAGAGCAGCTGAATATGAATACAATGTAGAAGATGTCCATCTTATGTCTTAATATGAATAGCATTTCAATTAAAACAATGAATCTTGTGATCCAGTTATATATATATATAAGCGTTTAGTAAAAGGTCTACCCTGAAAAATTGCAATTAGATAAAACTGATGCACAGTTTTTTTTAACTTTGTATTTATGGCAGAAAATGTGGTTAACGGTGAGGGTACTCAACTGATAAAACAAAGCATTCTGATCTTTATTAGTAAGCATGACTATGAGGTATTTTTATGTGCTCTGCTCACCACGGTTATTGTAATCCGGTTTTTAAAATATAATAACGTTTATTTCTTTAAATACATTAAGGGTAAACAAAATGTTAGGGTTGGGGGTAGGACCCTTGAGAGATGATAAAGGAAGGCTAGTATCTGATGATTGAGATGGCTGGGTTATTAAATGTTGCTTTTTCTTTGGTTTTTACTAATGAGGATTTAAGCAGTATTCCACATCTTGATCAGTTGATAAATGAAAACGAGATCAAACAAGATGACTGCATTAATTCTGGGCTGGTTAAGAAAAAATTGGGAAGTTTAAAAAATGATGAGGCTTCTAAGCCAGATAATATTTCCCCAAGG